AAAAAAAAAAAAAAAAAAAAAAGCTAACCTATTAACATTGATTTTACTCCCTTAAAGTCAAACCCACAAATCCACTTGATCCTCTACATGTGGCTTTGCTGAGAAATCAGGGGCAAAGCCATTAAGCTTTTCTGAGCTCCTTCTGAAGATTCTTCTATCTTTAGAAGATCCTGTACTCAAACTTAAAATTTTTCCTATATTCTTAATTGAAACCAAAACATATTCAACTTGAGAATTAATAAAATTGTCCTGTCCTGGTCTCCTGTCATTAGCATAAAACACTCTGCAGGCTACATGCTACATATTTTTGTTCTTTCAAGTATAACTTGTGTGACTGTTGAACCCATCATAATAGATGGATGAACGTCAGCAATTCTGTTTTATGGTCTTGTATTGAATCATCTCAAGTTGCTTATTTTAAGCCCCAATTCTACAACTACTAAGAAATGGGGAGTGCCCAGAAAGCTGGAGTCAGAGTAGTCTAGGAGTCACACAAGGCTACCAGGAAGCCTAAGATGCACGCAAGCCTTCATAAAATGTGGCTACGGTAACTTCCTAATTTGGCTATTTAAAGATTTTATTTATTTTTGCATTGAATTGGGGTGTAGGCCAGAGGTGGGAGGGGGAGAACCGGCGAATATACTGAAATATACTGCCGAGGGGAGCAGCAGGAAGAGGTCTGCTGAGCCATGTGGGTCAGCTCTGTGGCTGGGGGTCGAACTCAGGATGAAGGGGTGACACTGCTGAGAATCCTTGGCCACTAGGGAGGCCCCTGAATGAGCAGTTTGTAGGATTAAAATATTTACCAAAATAAAAACTTCACATTATAAAACTTGGAACAATTTTATTCAAAACAAGAACAAAATCTTGCATACGTAACAGACAAACTTTGACACATAAAAAGGAAGTGTTTGTATATATACAAAAATATTAAAATATACAATTTTTACAAATAAGGAAATCAAGATTTCACAAACAATACTTTTTTGGGCAGAAATATACACTGAAAAAGAGGTTTAAGAAAGACGACAAAACATTTATATTAACAGACACCAGAAGTTGATATTTCAATTGGTAAGGTAAATAAAATCCTCAAATGCCAATAGACAGTAAGCAAAATTTATGTTTAACACTGTCTAGGTAAAATTACATGGCCTTCCCACAGCCTTAAAATTTAATGAGTTTGTTTGACCTTTTAATCACAAATAGCACATAACTAGTTTTCCTTTTTTTTCTTAAATTACATTTTCTGTTTTATAATTGAAAATGTTAAACTTTTTCACAGTATATTGTAAAATACCTTTTAAGAGGTAATGTATTCCATTCTCTGAGGAAAAATCCCATGTACAATATTGCCTTCAACATAAAAACTATGACACACTTATTTTTAAAGTTAAAACCTAACATTTCCCAACTAACCTTCATGATTGGCTATAATTGATGTAGTAAGAGATCACAATCGCCGTAAATTCTTCTTGCTTTTTTTAGTGCCAGGCAGAGGGCCCATTTTATAGCTGGCTTTTAGGGGTTTGACATTCGAACAGTCCCTGTTGGTGTGATAATTACACAGACATTTTGTACAATAATCAAATCCACAGCCTTCTCGCTTGCAGGTTGCTCGCTGTAAATAGCAATCGTATTTTGCAGGTGATTTACAGCGGATACAGGCTTTGAGGCTTTCGTTGTTTTTCAAAGTTTTGGCAACCTAGAAGAAAATCCACAAACAAATTTTAGTAAGTACTAACAGTCCAAGTGTACCTCTACACTGTCCCCAAATACAAGTAATAAAGCACCAATGTTGCCCTTATGGAGTTTCCTTATGGAGTTTCCTGGTCAATGGTATCATTTGGTAGCTCATTGGTGGTTATTTCTTACTATTTATGGGTTTTCAATATGCTCTTACATCATGAATGTCAATTACTACCATTGTCTAATTTAAATGTCACCCTTCCTATGAGGTCTTCCTGGTGGCAAGCAAGGGTTGACTGCTCTTTTATCTCCGTTTAATTTCTCTAAAGCTAGGATTTATCACATTGTATTCCCCAGGTGACCACTGCCCACTGTAGACTAAAACACCAGGAAGGTTCCATGCTTTTCTCATCCACACAGTATCTGATTATAGAGGATCCATAGTGCATTTTGAATTTACATGCTTGTCATTGCATAATGTATATTTAAGACAGTGAACCAAATCTTTTTATATATGGTTCATATTTATTGGCTAACATATGAAAGTCATTTTATTTCAAAACATACACTCTTAAGAGTATGATTTTCAAAGTTAAACTTAAATTTTCATAAACAAGTAGAACTTGGGATACACATTACCCAATGACCTGAAGGTAAGGAAGCCTCCAGATTTTGATAGCTGGCCCTTTTGTGCTTAGTTCTCTCCCTTAGACATTAAAGACAGAGACTGCAAAATTAATATCGAAGTTTTATAAAAATATTTAAAACCAAGAAAGTTCTCCATTATTTTCTGTTTCCAAATTAGATCACAACATCACTTAACTTTCATAAGAGCAGAGTAGTATTTGTTATATCCAGCAGACATTTTTATGCCCTTTCCTAGTTTGATTAAGTTGAAAATGGTTTGATTTCTAACAATTCCAAAAGTAGAATAAAAAGAATGAAAGCTATCTACCAATAGTTCCCTACTAGTTCTAATTAATGTGATAATTTAAAGTTATCTTACACCAAATCCCTTCAACAAATGCTGTATATATACATATGTGTAAGCTGATAAATTACCTCAGAGAATTCATTGTGTCGACTGTAAGTAGAACCTTTCTGATCAACTGGATTGGTTAACTTTGTTCGAGCATCTTTTTTAGGGAGAGTGTGGGCTGATTCTTGAACAGATGCTAACTTGGTTCTGTACATAACATATTCTCTGGTAGAAGCATGTGGTGAAAACTTAGTGTTCTTTTCCTAAAAAAAAAAAAAAGTTTCAGTTATTCAGTATTCAAGCAGTTTTATTACTTTTATACAGACACAAAGGACAAATGAACCTATTCCTACATCCTTTACCTGCACATTTAATCATGTTTAAACAGTCACACCCACCGTTCCGATATTTAAACCCTAAACATGAAATTACTGAGAATGTACAAAAACACCTAAGCCCCATCTATATACAGAACAGCCAGAATAACAAAATCCTTTTCGCCACCAGCAGATGGCAACAGTCAGGTTCCAATGTGACTTCAGAGTCATGAATAGTTTCAAAACCTTTCAGATTAACTTTCCCATTGAAAGAAGCTTATAAAGAAACTGAACTTGGGAGAATTTAAACAGTAAAATTACAATTAAGTAGCAGCACCAAGATCATAATCTAAGAATGCCCAACTTAGGCCTAAACTTTTAGCCATCTTTCAAAGTTTCTTGGAAATGCTTCCAAAGTTGTGAAATATTTTAAAATAAACGAACTCCTGTCTATACTAAGACTCTTCAGTAAATTAGCAATTTATTACTTATCTGGTAAATTGGAAACTATGAATAACTAGCAATATATGGCTAACTTTCATAATTGGAAAACTGAGTAATTAATCATCCCTTTGATACTTTTGAATATTCAATTTCTAGAAAAAGGGCAAGAAATACATGACTGTGGTGGGATTCCTTTGAATTTTATTTTTAAAGCAGTTTAGTCAGACTGAAATGTTTTGGGAATCTAAATAATTTCCATATTACCTATTAACTTTTCCTATTTCTAAAGGTAAAGAATACTAGTAATCATATTATAAAATGAAATCAATGCAAAGACTTACAATCACTCTTTGTATTGCTTTATTATACAGCTGAAATGCCCCCTTGTCATCTTCTAGAATCTTCTTCCAAGTTGTGCTCACTTTGGACACACTAGAAAAGTAAGGAGCCAATTAAAGAACCTTAAAGAGCCAACATGAACACATTACAGAAAAATTAACAGTATAAAAATGAAATTTCTGAGCCCTCCCTAGTGGTGCAGTGGGTTAAAGCACAGCACTAAGAAGCTAAAGTCAATACAACATAAGTTCGATCCCTGCCCACCCCAGAGGTGATCCACATGGCGCAGCAGACCTCTCCTGACCCACCTGCTGCTGCTCTCAGGAGTCAGATGAGAAATTTAAGAAACTTGAGTTCAAGACCTGACATTTCATCACTCTGTGACAGATTCCTCACATGTAAAATAGTCATGGCAATTTTTCATCTTATCCTGTATCCTAGGTTTCTGTGCATCTAAAATGAAGTAATAGCAATGGGAACTCTTTTTTTTTTGGTTCATTTTTCAATGTACAAATATTGAATAGCACTGGAATTAGGGTTTAAGATCCACTCAGAATTAAAAGAATAGGTATCCAAAATCAGCCCAATTTAAATGTGGCTAATGCTTTAAAACAGCAATTAAAAATCAGGATTCCAGGTCCTCCCTGGTGGCACAGCGGGTTGAAGCACAGCACTAAGAAGCTAAAGCCACTTCAGCATGAGTTGGATCCCTGCCCTGGAGGTGACTCATGTGGAGGCAGACCTCTCTTGACCCGCCCACTGTTCCCCTCAGCAGTGTACTTTGTCAGTCGGCCTGTTCTGCTCCCCACTGTCTCTGGTGAATCCTCTCACTGCCCCAAATCTCTGGCCTATACCCCAGTTCTGTATGCATAAATAAATAAAAAATAAATAAATTTCTACTAGCGGTGTTTTGCAAACCTGGCTCTACATCAGAGTTACCCCAGGACCAGAGGGAACTTACGACTTAAGGATGCCCCAGGTCTAGTTATTTGGGCTTAGTTGGTCTAAAATAGGGCCTATGTACAGTTTTGTTCTTTTCCTAAAGTTGCTGATTAAATAATTTTAAGGCTTCTAGGGTTAAAAACCATTGCTTGTACTTCATTTTCTTTAGATCTGCAAACTTCAAGTAAGCAGTGGCCATTGTATTGTGTGGCAGGCACCATGTTAGCTTCTGGCACAAGATTTTTTACAAATCAAACTAGGAAAAACCTGCTACTAATAGAAATTAATCGCAAAACTCCATTATGTCAGTAAAGTAGAAAATGTGAGATGCCACTTATTCCTCAAGAAGCCAGTGAAAGAATATGCAGGGCAAAGTAACACTGCAAGGACTACCTTGTTATTTTTAAAAATGTCAGGAACGAACCAATTAAATTGAATACAATAGTTTGTATAATTACTTTTATTCTTATAGTTACCTCATCCTAATTGATTTTTACTGGTGGAACAAGCAAGAAAGGTAGTAGCTAGAATGTTTCTAGGAAACAGTCATAAGCAGATCAGTCTGCTCGCCTCCACTATTCCCACTAGTCAAACCCCGGACAGCCTTAAGCAAATGGCTTAAACATTGGAATTATTTAAAATTTAAAGTAATAAAAAGAAGAGCAAAGATTCCAATCTAACGAAAGAGATCTCTAATAGTATAAATGTGAAACTTGAAATGACTGGGTTAAATATGTACTTTCAAAATTATTCTTCTCTCATCTCAGTTGCACACAGGTAGTAAGACGCCAGCCATGAGCGAAAAGCTATAACTTCAAAGGAGAGCAAAAGACTACTTGGCTTTGTCTTTGTGTGAGCTGATGGTGCTCATCCATCAAAAAGGTTCAAGACTATAAGATACTCAAAGCAATGATACTCACTTGATTAAGTCCATATCACTGAGCTGGGCTAAAATAGTTTTTAAGAGATGTCTGAGTCCCCTTCCAAAGAGTTCACTGAGAATATCTACACATTCTAGGCCCATTTTCCTTCCAATTATATTCTGTAGTTTAAAATTTCCACTGGATATGAATTCTTTCAACTTTTCTCGATCTATCTTCGGATTTCGTTTAGTATTCTTTTTTAATGTTGAACAAACCACTTTTGCAAAATGAAGAGCTGGCATCAAGTTTTTGTTGGGATACTGGCTGGGGCTTTGAGTCTGTAGCAGGCAAAACTGTGGACTATCGCTGAAATTTTCCTCCAAGGGATGGATACCCTCTTCATGTTCATTGAGGCCATTTTGTTGAGAAAATGAGGAATAGCCACTATCTTCATAGGGTCCACTGGTCTCCAGTTCTTCTATCTCATTTGAGCTGTTAAATGTTTGTTGTACATGTTGATTTTCCTTGTTATGTAGGGGCTTGCTGTCATTTTCAAGTTCTACAATTCTGGTGTTTACAATGGGTGACCCAATATCTGATAAACTTTCATAGTCTTTAATACAGTCTTTATAAGAACCTTCCAAATATGCAGGAGTGTAGGAACCTGGTTTTCCATTGTCATCAGGCTTTACCAGTTTAAGTCCAGAATGTGCACGGTTATAATTAAAATCACACTTCATTTTCATAGAAAGTGTGCAGCTTTCTTCTTTACAACCTACGAAAAGAACATTATTTACTTAATAGCAAATTTTCAGCATATTAGGTTGTTGTTTAAATATTTTCAGCTTTCACGTTTGTAAAGTTCACATAATAGTTTTAGAGGCATTCTGAGCAGAGGAGACATTTGGACATTCTGAAATGATCACTGGCCACTGTAAGAATGGATGGTAGGAAGGTGCAAGTGGAAGCAGGGAGGCCAGGGTGTATCACAGTAGTCCCTACGAAGGTAACTGGTCATTCAGGAAGGTAAGTCAACAGGGCTTGCCAATTTATTAGATGTGGGTGATGAAGGAGAGCGAAAAATACTGCACAGGTTCATTTTCTCTCTACTTTCCTTTATCACCCACATCTGAAGTTCAAATAACTCATTTTACCACATCACATGTGGACAGTATTCCTCATATTCATTATACAACAGGCCCTTGAATAATGTTACATGTTCCACTATATTTCATTATAAAAGAAAAACCGATGTCTAGTCCAGGTGACTATCTGAGTTGCTGGCACAATTTCTCCAAGACCGCCTGGCTTTTCACCTGGTACCCCAGTGACCTTCCCCATCTCAAAGATGTGCCTATGCTAGGTTTATGAGTTGTCTAAACTGCACCAGGTTGTGTGAGTTGACAGAGCACACACGTGCACACAAGGGAGCACACCAGGATAGAAGGGTCTCTGCCCAGCACTGTTGGCTCCTGCTTGAGTCCTGAGTTAATAGGCTCCAGCTACTGCCATCTTGGACTGGACTGAGTGGAGGTAGAAAATGAATGAATTCAAATTACTGTGTCATGTTAGAAGTGTTTGAGGTCTTTGTTTAGCAGTTTTTGTGACTGGAATATACTACATAAGAACTCACCTTTAGTTTCTATCATTTAACCTATGGTAAAATTGGTTTCATTGGAAGTCGTTTTGCTTTGTTAAGGCAATCGTGAACAGTTTTTTAAAAAAAGCAAGATATATTCCACACAGAAGCATACACTGAAGAACATTACATACTCCCCCTAAGAATCATATCCAAGTACAAAGAAAATTCTTTTCAGGCTTCCAATTAGCTTTGAGATCTTGGAACATTCTATTAGCCTTTTGTTTTCTCTAAAATAGAGATAACTAATATCTACCTCATAGAATGGTCCAGACTCAAGCCACTGCACTTCTAAAAGCTCTCACCACCTACCTGTCCAATCATGAAAAGTGGAAGCCTAGTTAATATACCAAGTTTGACCTTTCAATTAATTTTCCAAATAGATCTGACACTTCAAAAAAAAAAGAACCAAGGTTGAGTAGACTATAGTGCTCAAAAGAGCCACCATGTGCCCAATGCCAGGTAGGGCTGTTTCTGTCTGTACTCAAGAATGATCCAGGTGCAAGGCTTGCAGCCATGCTCTCTGAAAGAAACTTTACCAAAAAACTTCTAGTATGACAAATGTATTTTCTTTTCCAATGTGTTCACAGGAAAAAGAATGCAGGAGATGGAAACTATTCTTGGGGAGAAAGGTGAAAAAGACAACTGGGATTAAACAGTCCCCATCTTGGAGTCATCAAGCTTGAGGATTTCACAGGATCTTCTAGAAATACTTCACCTGCTTAAAATTAGCAAATGTTACAACATCGAGTGGCTCATCTTTTAAGTTTTTGGTAATTTCTAAGATAATCTGGGTCTTTTTTAGAGGCAGCAACAAAGAGGATAAAAATCAGCGTTTATCTGGGTGCCTTTCACCCCATCCACGTTTTGGAATAAAGGGCTAACCAATTCCTCGGGAGAGCAGGGAACACCATTTTTCCAATTCCCACTGATCAGTGAAATACACACGTTCACGGCTTATAAAGATGGTTTCTCCCTCTGACCCTAGGCCTTGCCACTGAGCTACTGGGCAAAGGCGGAAAATGCACATTTTTGCTCGGACGTCCCAGCAGAGCTAGGTGGGGTGCGGGGGTCCCTCCATTTGGCGGGAGTGGGGGTGGGGGAAGTCCCGAGGGGTCGGCGGGGTGGCCCTCAGGGCGCGGGCCGCGCGGGAGGCGGGAGATAACAGCCGGCTTCTCCCGCGCCCGCCCGCCCAGACCCAGGCGGCGGAACCCGGGGAATTCGCGCTCGGCCGACGATGCAGGGCAAATCTGGAAAAGGGGTGCTGGAGTGGGGGCGATGAGGCTGCGGGGCAGCCCCGGGGGGTCGGCGGCCGGGCTGTCAGAGCCCGAGCTCGGGTGGGGGAGGGGGGTCTTTGGCGCCCATTCCAGCAGGGTGGAGTGGGCAGACCTGGCCCGTGGAGGGGCGCCCCACACACCACGGCCGGCACCCCCAACCCCGGGCCTGGCGTCCACTGAGCCCGCCAGCCCGCCTCGGCCCTTTGGGCTTCACCGCCCCGCACCCCAGCTTCTTTCTCCCGGCCCCGACACCCCAAGACGCCCGCCCGCCCGCTGCCCCGCATGGGCCCGCACATCGGGGAGGCAGTGCGGCACGGTCTGCAGGTCCCTCGGCCCCCCGTCGTTCACCCCTCTCAGAGCGCGCGACCCTCGAACTCTCTCCTCACTCACCTTCCGAAGGTCGAGGGGCCCCGGCGGCTGTCAGGGCGCGAGAGCGGCGGGAGCGGGAGCAGGAGCAGCAGCTGCGGCAGGAGGGCCGCGAGGAGCAGCTGCAGGGGCACCGGCTCATGCCAGTGGAAGTGGGGTGCTCCTCAGGTGAGGGTCCAGCCGCCGCAGCACACCAGGCTGCAGCCCTTTCACAGAGCGGTATTAGCTAAAAGGCGCCAGCTGGTACTTTTAAAATCTTTGAATTTGGTGCACAAATCCGCACGGCCCAATGGCACGCTGCATCCTCACGCGCGCCCCAATGGGAAGGCTGCGGGAGGGGACTCCCTCACCCCAGGCCAATTGCAAGAGGCCAAGGCGGGGTCGAGCGGCGACGTCCCACCTCCATGCTTTGGCCCGCGACGTGCGTCGGGAAAGACACGTCCGGGCGGGCGGGGCCGGGGGCGGGGCCTCGGAGCGCGGGCAGCCGCGGCCGGGCCGCACGTGGAGGGAGCCTACCACGCCTGCGCGCACGCGCCAAGTGTCCATCCCGCGTCTCGGCAGCCGGCCTCCGGCAAGTCCTAATTCCATCTCGAAGGCAGCTCCGGCGTCTGCTCGACGATCTCCGTCGGAAACATAGGGTAGCCGACTCGCTCCGATCTTCTCGCATGTGGGACTTCGGTGAGCAGCGACGCTGGTCGCCTGGGAATCGAGACTTTCCGGAAGACGCCCTCCCCCAGCCCCACTTAGCCCGCCTCTCTAGGATTTAGGCGCGCTCCTCTCTCCCTTAGTCCCGCCCCTTCCCCTGCCCGCTGTTTTTGCGCAGGCGCCCGAGGCGGGCGGGGGCCGCGGAGTTGGCGGGTTGGCGCTTGCGCACTGGGGTTCCTTCGTGTCCCGCGGAGGGGAGGGGAGAGGGGGCCGCGGAGGGCGGGGACGCGGCGGTGTTGGGTGGCGGGAGAGGAGCGGCAGCATTTCCTAAGGGCCTTCCGGCGGGGGAGGTTGGGACAGTCACCCTTCAGCGTGTAAATGGCTGTGTTTCTCCAGCTACCAGTGCTTTGTACGGTTGTTAAGTTTATTAAACTTGTATGTACGATTTTCTGGGGTTTTTTTTTTTTTCCTTAGCTCCAATGGCAGCAGACAGCCGTCCTTCAAAATGACACACAAAGATACTGAAGTCTTGACGTGGCAGTTGTAGTCCAAAATTTCCTGGGGCCCCTGTCCAAGGGAACGGTTTTCCAGTGATGGCAGGAATGGGTGGAAGGGCTGGTTGGCCAGTCTAAGAAGACAAACTGCACTGTTTTAACTTTTAGCTTTAGCTCTTTGGTTAACTTAGGTGGACTTAAGTGGTAACAGTGGCTTTCCTAACTCAGCCTAGTGTTGCTGCAGGATGTAAGTTTCAAAACGTTCGTTCCTACCTTTTGCAGTTTCCCTTCTTTTGCTTTCTGCAGCCTTAAGAGAATTAATACTTGATGTACAGTAAGTGTTCAGTTAATCCTGTGAGGCACAAATGGGATTAGGCTGAATCCTTCTGGCCCTGGAGAATATCATCCTTATACACATCTGTGATTAGTTCATCATGGCTTTTTGCATTCAGTTTGAGAATGTTTCAGTTAAGTTTTTTTTTTTCATTATTGAAATTGTTGCCATCTTAAATTTTGCACCTGAGTCCTGTGTCTCATCAGCATGATCATGGTGTTAGGTCCTGTAGATACAGGGATGACAGTCCAGTCCTTCAGGGAATTTACCTGCTAATGAGCCATAAATTGGCAAGGAACTATTTCAGTAGGTGAAACTATTTCAGTAGGTGAAAGAATATAACACAAAGTGGAGGACAAGCTGTAAGGACAATAGCTAAAGACTTTGGGTGAAGATTTCTGGGGCTTTGGCCAAGATCAGGATGTTGAATTAGCAAGACAATTATCTGCATAAGTAAAGGGAAGAGATGAAAATGCATGACTTCTTCCCTGGGATAGAAGGAAATTAGAGAGTTTAGAGCAATAAGATTGTAGGTCAGAGAGGTAGCACATTGTATGTGAGAGTTTAGTTTCATGGCAAAGGACTGCTTTGTTGAATGATTCTTTAAAGCTAGTTTTTTTTTTTTTTTTAAAGATTTACTTATTTATGCTTACAGAATTAGGGTACAGGCCAGAAGTGTGGTGGGTGAGAGGATTCACCAGAGGCAGAGTGGGGAGCAGAACAGGCAGATCTACTGAAATACACTGCTGAGAGGAGTAGTGGGTGGGTCAGGAGAGGTCTGCTGCTGCGCCATGTGGGTCAGCTTCCTGGGCAGGGATACTCATGCTGTAATGGCTTTGGAGAGGTTCATAATGCAGTTCTTTAACCCATTGCACCACCAGGGAGAGCCCCAAAGCTAGTAGTTTTTTTTATAGTAGGTTGAGGAGCACCTGTTAATTTCATTTTTAGTGAGAATCTCTGAAAGGATGAGTCTGAATGTTACTAGATGTCAACAGATATATATATATATGTATATATATATATATATCACTACTTTCAGTATCAGTTAAAATTGTCCAGTTTTAAGGTACAAAATGACAGTTGCCCTCATTCTTTTAGCATATTCCTTTTGCAAGCTTTGCAGAGTCTGGAAATGACTGGCACATGACACATGCCCTTGAATTTATAATCTAGGTCTGTCATGTAATAGAGATAGCAGAGTGCACTATCTTTGGATATAAGCATCATAGGTCCTAGGGGAGGAGAGGTGTGTAAAATATGGCTGTAATGGAATATGGGATGATTTAAGTCCATCTGGTTACAGTGGGGTTTTATAGAGCGGGAGCTACTTCTGTGTGCCTGGGTAAGGGAGTTTATTACCTGTCGGACAGCATTTGTCATCATCAGCACTACTGAAATTTCGGGTCAGACACTTCATTTTAATGGGAGCTGGCACGTGCAATGTAGGCTGCCTCGCATTTGCAGCATCCTTAAGCGTTAAGGAGTCTATGGTATAAGCAACAAAATGAGGGAAAGCTTAAGTGCAGGTGTGTTTACTAGCGAAAATGAATTTGATGTGACTTAGGGATGCATTGTGCACATGGAGAAGCTGAAGTTTTGTTTTGGAGGCAGTTGTGATCTGTTAAGTTGTTGAGCAAGAGAGTGATGAGATCAGTCTTGCTCTTTAGGAGTAACCTGTAGGCAGACATGTGATCCAAGTCACAGAGCAGATACCGAGGATGCAGGGAGCACTTGGGATTACTAAAATGGTCTAGAGAGTTAATTCTGGGCACGATTTGTAATGGACTTGGAGAGGATAGTGTTTAGCACAAGAGTAGGATTTAGAAACAAATTGCATGTAAGAGAAATCAATGATTACTTCATCTTAAATTTCAGAGGGAGAATGGAACATTAAACATTATCTGTTTATACTTTTTCAAATTTTCCATTCTACCTGTATGAGTTTTTACAGGTGGTGTAAGTCATTTTGAATTCATTTTTGGTTCACTGTGAATAACAGAAAAGATTTCTAGACAAATACTTTAAATACAGCTGCCTTTTAGGGAGCTATTGAGTACCTACTGTACCATGTCAGATACTGTAGACAAAAAATGGAGGGAACAGTTCTGTTAATGAGATAATGTGGAAGTCTAGCAACACGTTTATTCCATTGATTGGCTACTTTCCCTACTTCCTCAATATGCACACAAACCTGAGATAGGAGTGAGTGTCTGAGCTTATTACTTTGCCATAAATGTTGTCATACAGGTATTGTAAAGTAGTGCAGAATGGCTTCAAGAGCAGTTAATCCTGCTGAGGGATTAAGGTGTCCTTTAGGTTGCACCTTGAGATGAGCCTGCAGAGGTTAAGTGGAAGGTGTTTTCTAGGCAGAGAGGGCCACATAAGCAAAGACAGGTAGGAGTGATACCGCAGTTTGTAATTAAGACAGTGGGGCGAATGCATTGTTTATGCACAGTGCTAGTCTTTGAATGCTCTTAGATGTTAGACTCAGGGCTTTCGTGCCCAAAATATGTTGCTCTGCCCTTACCTTTTCTTGCATTCCAAAAATTTCATTTGATTGTCTAGGAATAACTAATTTAGACTAGTGAGTGAAGTAGGAGCCAGCTTAAATTCACAGACCAGAACTAACACTGCCTGTTCATAGTATATGATATATACTTAAATCTGTAGTGTTAATCTAGCTGTTACAATTTTTTTTTTAAGATTTATTTATTCGTACATAACTGGGGTACAGGCCAGAGATGGAGGGTGAGAGGATTCACCAGAGACAGAGCGGGGTACAGAACAGGCAGATCGACAAAGTACACTGCTGAGGGGAGAGCGGGCGGGTCAGGAGAGGTCTGCCTCACCATGTGGATCTCCTCCAGGGCAAACAGGGATTGAACTCATGCAGAAGTGGCTTAAGCTTCTTTGTGCTGTGCTTTAACCTACTGCGCCACCAGGGAGGGCCTGTTACAATTTTTTAAAAAAGGATCAAAGGCTCTTTAGCACTGTATCACTTCTTCCCATGGGCAAGCAGAACAGGACTGTAGGAAAATAAATTAATTTTGGTAGATCTCCATTATTTACTGGAGGAAATCCAACACGGGAAACGTTTGACAAGTTCAGTCCACCTTTAATGTGGCCAGTCCCTTGATTTTACACAGGAAACCAAAGAATCAAGAAAAAGCGATAAAACTGTGGGAGACTACCTGCATCGGGCCTAGCATCTATACCATGTAACATGGTGATGAGCGTTGCACCGTCTCTGCACAGAGCCACACTCATGCCCAGTGCTTGGGAAGGTAGAGGGCAAGGGAATCCATTCACATTGCAATATTCTGACGTATTTCATAACCGTTGACTTTAAATTCTAATGTGTCTTTAATGAATTTTCTACAGTGCCCCTAATAAGTAATGAGGGAAAACACTGTCAATAGATGACCACTCTTAAGATCAGCACAAGCTGGGGCCCTAAAAGAAACTTAACTGAGAAAGACAGTATGAAGCAAAAGGAGACAGATGACCTGACAGACAATACTAGTTTTAGGTTTACATAGTACAGGAGCTCAAAAGAATTCAGACCATGGCCAGTGATTCTAACTAGCATGGAAAAGGTATGGCAATTTGGGGCGTTAACTATCAGCTCCTAATTCTGTAACATTTAGTTACACAATCTTAATAGTAATTGCTTTTCTGGAAATCCTGCCTTATTATAATGGCTATAAATTTAACATTTACTCATTATCATGTAGAGTGTTCTTGTCATTGTAGAGTCCTTAGTTTACCTCATGTTTTAAAAATCTTGAACCAGTATTTCTAGCTTCTCACTTCATCTGATAGCAGCCTTACCCTGGGTTTTGGTCAGAAGATTTAACTCCAACACTCACGGGGGCGGACGGGGCTGGGGAGGCACTCCTTTATCAGGCACAGGCACATGCTTGCACTTTCACCCTTTCGCATCTGTGCAGCCTCACCCAGATAGATAGTCCCGGGATTTTTCTGCCTTCTCAGGCCCCAAATTTCAACCCATTCCCTCAGACTGGAAAAAAGCTACCCATAACCAGGATCCCCGTGGGAAAAGGGGCAACTTCTTTTCAATCTTAAGCAGAAAAATCGACAGAGTACTCTGATTTAGCATTAATCACACTTTAATTATATTCTCAACTCACAAGGGTGAATTTATTATCATCTGAACTTTTTTCCCCAGGAAAGCCCATGAGAGCATTGAAACCTGACTGAAGTGTATGTTTTAATGACAGAAATGCTCAGTCACAGAAAAGGAGGTGAAGAGGAAATTTGCAAAGCCTTAAGTCTTAAACTTAACTTCCACTGCAGAGGAAGTATCTGAAGCGCAAGCTAGATGAACCGCCATAGCCTGGCATCTGATAGAAACGTAATGCAGTGTGTTGTAAGAGCGGTGGGTGGGGTGGTGGCCAGGCAGTCCTAGATTAAGAGATAAGCAATGTAACTGCCAGCTTCCATGTGTGAATGCCTAGCTGGCTTCTGGTTTGAAGAAGCCAGTTAGAATTGAAATTCCAGTAATTTGGTACTTGAAGATTAGAGAATTATCAGGTAAGAGTGAGGATAGTACATGACTAAACAATGCCTTTTAAAGTTCAAGCGAGCCTCCCAGCCCCCTACGGATCTTTACGTTCCCTGGGCTCTCTGGTGTTCTCAGGGTCTCAATCTTCAGGCAATCACTCCTATTACCATCCTTGAGTGACGTCACCCTTATATCCTTGACCTCTAGGCTCAGGTGTAGTTACACATGCCCACAGCCATATTCCAGGTGTCCACAACCAGACACCAGTGTTCCGCCCCCACCTTCCCAAGACCCTTCTCCATAAACGTGACCAAGGCCACAGATGGCAGCCAGAGGCCAGCAGTGTACAAAGCCTGGTTATTCCACTTGCCCTACATTGCCCCTCTCTGATTGTGCGATCCACAGAAAATAATTGAAACCTGTTAACTTTTCAAAAACTTGTTAGAAAGTAAGTGGTCAAAGCCAGCTAAGGACCCTGTGGAATCGGTAGCAGGACCAGCTTACACTGTCAGCAGGTAAAGTGCTGGAGAAGTGGTTTCTGTTTCTAATGTGCCTCCTCTCTCGCTTCTGTGGCAGAAGTGAGGTGTTTCAGTGGTGCTCCCTACCACAGACGGCTAATTCTGTGTGACACTTTGGCTGGGCCCTAGTGCACAGAGATATTTAGACCCCACTGCTCTGGGTGCTGCTGTGAAGCGGTATTCGGGTGAGCTCAACATCCCTCCGGTGAGCTTGGACTAGCAGGAGGCCCTCCGTGTGCCTGGGCTTCCCCCAGCCAGTGGGAGGCCTGGATGGAACATAAAGACCGGCTTCCCGTGGCTGACCGGTGGTACGGATGCTGACCCCCAGCCAGTTCTCCTGGCATCACGCTGGGAGCCGCTTACTTACCGGGGCCCTCCCTGTAAGCCCTGGGCCAACAGCACAGGAGCTCTGGCCACCAAGGGAAAGATTCTGTCCTTAGATGGTCGCAGCCATGCTCTCCATGAGCTTTCTTTACTTGGGTATTCACTCAGGTCCCCGTGCATCCGTTTTCTTTTTCCCCCCTACTAGCTAATTCCAGCTAATGCTTTGTATTAAATCCCTGTTCAAATTAATGATATAGTTTCTCGACTAAACTATCTACTCCATATTTCTAATGCTGTATTTGAAGGTTTTCATACTAGTTTATTTGCTCAGTCCTTAAATATTTTAGATAAAACAAGACTTATTTCCTTTGTTTTTCTGCAAGGAAGAGTTCAACATTTATAACCATGATCACAGTTATTGTACCTTTTTTTTACCAATACATTGCAAAGGTTTATATAAATCATTACATTTTAAAAATAGACGGTTTACCTCCAACCTTTGTAACTCAGCTGTTACAAGTCTTGCTGTTGCACGTCTTTAATACCATATTAGCTTAAGCAGCTTTAGAAATAATTTCTACTAAAGATTCATAATCAGAATAGTCCTTTAGTGATTGTACCAGTTCATCCAGTAGATTCTCTCCTTGCATAAATGTTTCAAGATCATGAAGTGACTTGTTTATTCTGTGATCTGTGACTCGGTTCTGTGGAAAGTTGTATGTTCTTATTTTTTCTGACCTTCCTTTAGTTCCAATCTATATATTTAAAAAAAAAAGTATAAGACAGAGTCAAGGCACTAAAACTACAAATTTAACTTAAAGATTAAGCTCTTAATTTATACTATAAACACAAATGTAGGAAACGAATTACAAACATTTGAAATCCTCAAATGACAAGGGAACATGATAGAGAAAAATTAAAATGAGACCAGTTAGTATTTGAATCCTTTACCGTTTCAGTGTTCTTATTTTAGTTTATTTCAGCCATAACCTTTAGTTTCTTATTTATAAAATATACACAAATATTAACTACTAAACAGTGATGATGCATATCTACAGCCTGACAGATAAGTCAATAGTGACATGGTATCTACATATATATATAACCTGGAATTAATCTAGTCCTCTTCAGTGATGCTGAATTGGTTAAATTCTTGTAACAGTAAATTAATAACAGTACTCCATTATAAAATACCAAGTAAGAAAAAAGTTCAGTTTTCCAATTTCCATAATTTTCAAAAGACTCAAAGTGATTGGGGACTCTGTTTTTCAAAACTGACTAAAAATCATGGGAGTAAGAAATAAAAACAGCTGACGATACAGAAGATAGGGCAGAGGTAAAGTAATCTTGAACTACAAAGACTACTTGAGCTACTTGAATTTTGACAAACACACTGAAACAACTTATAAATATACAGTATAGAAACAAAAAATTATCTGAAGAGATTTTTATCCTTTAGTAGCATCCTCAGAAAATCAGTTTTACCTGAATCTTTCTAGCGTTGTATCTTTTACTTGTTTCTTCTTCTAGACGCATGCTGTATAGCTTTGCACGTAACTTTTTCATAGCCATCTCTCTATTTCTCAATTGAGATCTCTCTTGTTGGCACTCGGAAACAACACCTGAATAGTGTTACGAGAATTAGAGTTTTAATAGAAAAATCTTCTCCAACTGTTATCAAGGAACACGCCTTTTCCTTCTCATTCTTCTTCCTTTATGAAAGGAAAAAAACAGGAGACTAATATAGAAGGAAAACTGTGAACTTAAATAATTTTTATAACATTATCAGAAATTGAAAATTTAAATCTAAGCTATAGCACGAAGTATGTCCATGAAGAGATAAATATTATTAAGCAATCACTTAACAGACTTTTTCTCACACCTTCAGCTAGCAAACGTTACTTTTTAAAATAGCTATAGAAACTGAAATAGAAAAACTAGTCTTACCCCTACAGATAATTGCTACTCATATTTCTGAGGGCTTTCATCCATTTGCTGCTCCTTTTTGCATCGGAGGCATCATCTTAAATTTAACATGAAGATTTCCTCATCAAGAAAATGCTCACCAACCCAGCACGCCTATCAGCCACTACTGTTCAACAGGAATTATGTATCTGAGATACGCTTCATTAAAAGATTCTGTAGTTTTGCTGACAATGTGCTCTATATCACAGGCAAGTCACTGCAGTAATACTTGGAAAACATACTTCGTTCTATTTAGATACTAACAAACTTTCAGCTTTGAGAATCAAACTCTGGAGATCTGTGATGAATGTAGTGGGAGAAGCCCCTGAAATTACCATGAAGCCTGCACTAGAAGACTGTTTCTGGGCAGTAAAGGCCTCTTTGCATTTTCTCAAGGGACTCTGTGTGCCCCTCCCCATGAAAGGCTAAGAACCAGTGACTTGCAGCATTTCCTGGTAAAGCACTCACAACAGTTACTTCCCTGTGAGGTTTACTAAATGGTGACTTAAGTGTAACCTCTGAAAGCCACCTGCAAGGACGATCCACTCCTCTGTAGTCACTACTGTGAAAATTTGCCGGGGTCAGATCTGACCCGCTTCCTGGATTGCAGCCCTGCCATTTCAGCTAAGGCTTCTAAATAAATCAATATTCAGTAACAACCCAAGTAGTTTACATTCCTCTGGTGACTGAGGAGCTGCGCCACTGGAGAGTTACTCGGGTCATGCAAATCGATCTAGCCAGTGCTCTGTGCCAGAGACAGACGCACCTGTAGGGAGATGGACGATGCGGACAGCGCTGTCAGTGGTGTTGACGTGCTGGCCCCCGGCTCCGCTGGCGCGCTTAGTGTCGATGCGCAGGTCTTTAGGGTTGATCACCAGATTAATCTATATATGCAAGGAAAAACTGGATTTTAAAAGCTACATGTAAGATCTGCGTAAATGTGAAAACTGTTTATAATATCCTAAGTGTTGTGTATAGAATTCACTGTTAGAAATATAAAAGTAACAGCTACATTGACATTTTGTAGCAAAATTCTGAGTTCAAAAGATTTGGGGGGCACCTAGGAGAACAAGGGGAAGGGTTCAATAAAAGAGACCTTAAATATACTCAGGCAGGACAGTCCTGGCGCCATGACTCTATTCATGGCCTCTCGATCGCCCTGTGTGGCTCCCTGGTACAGCGGCTAGAAGTAAATGAGGGATGTGGAGCTTGGTCTCCATTTTTTCCTGAAAACAACTTCTACACCCTAATGCTTAAACCAAAACTTAGTTGCAGCTTCTGCCATTTATTCTACTGCACTGCCCCCTTAACTGCTTCCCGGAAGAAATAGAGCTGAAGAAGGGAGCTCCCTTGACTCTCAGAGTCTAGCAGCACCTTTCTCTGAAATTGATGAACAGAAACGCTCAACTAAATCTCCTTCTCAAATTATTTACACACCATTCAGAAAAGAAGTCAAGTATTTCCTATCCAGTTTCAGGCAGAAGAGAACTGCTCAATTAACTTACCTAACAAACACCTAGATGGAGAATTTGCTTTGTAAGAATAAAGTGTATTTCCTAAGGATGGTAACAATGTTTCTATTCAAGTGTAACTGAGATGCTATTCTGTAGTTACTTCCTTTAGAACAGTATTTTACATTAGAATTCTAGAAACTTGTTACACAAAGCAAGTCTTTTAAAGGCAACCAATCTCAAATTCGCTTTAAAGGTTAATATTGTTTCTCCCACAAAGATGGTCTCAAAATATCCAAGCTTAGTGGTGAAGAATTAATAGCACAATATGCATCCATAATTTTTACCATCTATTATAAAATTATTTGAACTGAGATTAGATTATATGAAAAACAAATTAAAATATGTGCTGAAGCCCAAGTGGTAGGAAAAGGACATGCTCGATTCTGTGAAGTGAGTGTTACGAGGCAGCAAGGCACTGTGCCAGACCCACGGCTGGCAGTGTGAGGACTCACCTCGGTGGGCTGGGGCAGTATGGCCACCGTCATGGTGCTAGTGTGGATGCGGCCTTGTTTCTCAGTCCTCGGCACTCTTTGCACTCGGTGCACACCTCCTTCAAATTTCAGGTGTTTATAGGCCTCTGAACCCCCAATGCTGGCAGATGCATGTCGAAGCCCACCTTGAAATAATTGGGAAAACAGGATTATTATTCCTGCCATTTATAAATAACTGTTACTTCTACCATCATCTTTAGATATAAGAATTATAAAATAGGGCCCTCCCTGGTGGCGCAGCGGGTTAAAGCACAGCACTAAGAAGCTAAAGCCACTTCCGCATGAGTTCGATTCCCGCCTGCCCCGGAGGTGACCACATGGCGTGGCAGACCTCTCCTGACCCGCCCGCTGCTCCCCTCAGCAGTGTACTTCATAGATCTGCCTGTTCTGCTCCCCACTCTGTCTCTGGTGAAGTCTCTCGCTGCCCCTGAGCCTCTGGCCTGTACCCCAGTTCTGTATGCACAAATAAATAAGTCTTACATTAAAAAAAAAAGAATTATAAAACAAAAGTATACAGATTGCAAAACACTGGAAAACTTTAGAAAGTTTGATACAAAATGTTTTAATATGCTACTGTCTTTATTACTTGAAACTGTCAAGCTTGAAGCACTTACTGTATTAGTGAGGTAACTCCAAAACATATCTCAAAGGCCGCTTTTTAAAGACCATTGAATAATTAACCTTTTATAGGTCATTTCAAAATTCATATATTTGCATTCAAGTTTACTAGGTAAACAATGAGCATAAAACCAGCTAAGCGCCCTTACAAATAAGGTCTAAGGCCTACTCGTGGTCTTCCCAGCCCTTTTGCTAGGACACATGAAGACACAGTAAATGATTAAGTCTATACTTCAACCCAAATAAGTGAAAGACTTTACTGACCTATTTCACTTGGAAAATAGTCCAGGGTTTCAAAATGCCATCTTTTAAATGCAGCATATTGCTGATACATATCAAATATCTCTGAAGTAAACAACATTGCTTCCTGACCCCCAACTCCTGCAGTTACCTCCAGGATCAAATCACTTTCATCTGTTTCTTCTGAGGGAACCAAAAGGTAGATAATCTGTAAATACAAAAATATTATCCACTCTTATGGTTAAGAATTATTTACAACTTAAAAAGCAGTCAAACTGCATCTGTATTTTTTAGTATTTCTGTAATGAGAAACTTGCAACTATGAACTGAAAAAGTGGGGTCCAGTCCCCTCACTTCACATGTAAAGGAAGACGAGGTAACAGATTAAAGGATGTGTTAGAGTGAAATGTCAGTGGCAGAGTAAGGCACAAGACAAATCGCTGTGCCCAGGTCAGTCTTTCTTCCAATATTACAGTACATGCACACTTCAGTATGTTCCAAGACAAGCATGTCAAATAGACTTGTTCTTCCATTGATTAGGTAAATTAAATAAAAACAAACTGACAATATTTACTGGTTCTTTAGTATAATATATGAAAGTCACTTTGCTAAGCACTCCATATACCTTCTTAAAATAATCTCGGGCAGGTTCTACTTAACAATGTGAAAACTAACTGCATAATTTTATATGCCCAATTTTATATAACGAAAAAGTGCTAGAATCTAAACCCAAGTACTTGAGTTTTGAAATGTCAGGAGTTTTATTACTGCTTTTCCATCTCTCTAGCCTGTGCCAATACAACATGATCACTCAAACACTGACCTAACATGACAGTATTTACTTACATCTGTCTGTTAACCACTAGCTAATGAGCAGAAGCCTCAATACACATCTTCCTATTTCACAAAATAAAAAAAGGAGGGAGGGAAGGAAAAAAAATGACAGAAGGTAAAAGGCAGAAGGCAAGCTACACTGGACTTTTCACTCTGCAGTGGACTGGAGATCCCATGAATTCCATTGAGTTCCACACGTGGCCAGCTAACAGGAACCTCTGAAGTAATCACCCACACAGGCTCCTTTCTCACCTTACCAAGCTCTTCAAGGTATCTCCTCAGAGATGATTGCTGTAACTCTCTCTTTTAGGGATCAGCAGGGTGGCTCTCTTTTCATGGGAGCTTAGTCTAGCTCTGTATGTCCTGCAACTCTCCAGAAGGAAAAGCGAAGCTGTCCTAGGCAGTTTAACAGAAGCCCAAGGGGCTGCTCTTCCTTTTGGCTCTAACAGAAGCAGAGACCGAAAGGGAAATGTAATGCCTTTCTGGCAAGTCCTACTAACATGATACCTAGTTTTCTTTCACTGTTCCACAGTCCTTTCATTATGATCAAAATAGGACCACAGAGAGTATCCTTTTTCCCTGCTTTGAAACCAGTTTATCATTCTGAATAGTAAGCAGTCAGTTAATTCTTGAGTTTTTTACTGACTTCCAGTAAAATGCATTAAAAGTATGTAAGTGTTTTATTATTCTTTTGCAAATACTATACCTGCTGTTTCAAATGATTTATTTCTTTCTGACATGAAGTTATCTCATTCTCGGCAAGTTTCCTTAAATCTTCATTTTCATCTAAGAAAAAGAGTCAATGGGTTAACTTTCCTTAATTAGTGTTAAATTGTCAACAGACCAAGATAATAGTTTTACTGTAGTCACTGATGAAGGGAAAAGTAAAATGTCTTTCTTGTCCTTATTACCATTAATTAAAAGTAGCATTTTGGGTCCTCCCTGGTGGTGCAGCGAGTTAAAGCACAGCACTAAGAAGATAAAGCCACTTCTGCTTGAGTTCAATCCCTGCCCCGGAGGTGATCACATGGCCAGCAGACCTCTCCTGACCTGCCCACTGCTCCCTTCAGCAGTGTACTTGGTCAGTCCACCTGTTCTGCTCCCCACTTTGTCTCTAGTGAATCCTCTCACCACCCCTGTACCTCTGGCCTGTACCCCAGTTCTGTATGCATAAATAAATCTTTTTTTTAATAGCATTTTATACATTTTCATAAAAGTGGCTGTAAAAAAACTTTTCTCCTAATGAAAAAAAATGTTAAGTAAAATTAAAATAAAACCCAACCAAAAAGAAAGTTAAGTGTAACGAACCCAACCATTTCGGGCTTGTTTACATCATGCTTTCCTAGTTGTTCTTTCATCTTCCCCTTACAAGATAGACATTTTCATTCTTTTAGCCTATGAACAACACAGCATTTAGCAAGAAGGGGCAATCTTTTTAGTTATTACTAATTGTTCTTTCTGTTGAAAGAACAAACTTATAAAATTATCAGTATGTTCATTTATTTATTCAAAACCAACTATGCTGGGAACTGAGGATGATAATATAGAAGACCTGCCGTCCAAGCAGGATTTTAGATAATTTCAAGTTTCATTATATTTTTCAATGGGACAAAAACAATGAATAGACACTACTTGATGAAATGTAAAGATAACACCACCTTGTAAGTTTTTTTGTTTTGGTGATGCACGGAAAAAAACAGGATTAACTGAAGGATAAAGAATAGAATAAAATGAAAATGAGACAAACAAGTGGAAACATTGATAGAATGGAAGAGAAATTATTTTGGCAAGATTTGGAATGGACAACAGGAAAAGGCAAGATGAATTCTACCTCTAGTGTGTCCGCTGAGATTTTAGTGCACATACCCAGTTTTCCTGAGTCTTGTTATCTTAAGAATAAAATGAAGGATCTGAACTTGGTGATCTCTAAAGTATCTTTCAGTCCTAAAGTCCAGTGTTCTGTAAGGCCAAAGAGCTTGGAACTAGAGTCTAGAAGTAATGTAATTTGAATACTCCATTTAATTAACCCAGACGACCAATACATTTTGCAACACAGAATCAAAATAAATAAATAAAAAAGTACATTCCACAAGTGTTAAGCCTCTGAGCCGTGGTGTGTATTTCATAAACAGATTTCCCTGGAGAGTAGCCACATCACAGGCCCCATGGGAACTGTGGCTAAAGTCTACGTATTGGACAGTGATGTTCTACCGCAATAGAATGAGGAGGTATTCGCAGGGACAGGAAATACACTAATTCTTTAATTTTACTTTCAATATCATTAATCAAAATGTTTTCTGGGTGCCTACTTCACACCTGCCATCTCCTCCTGTGTTCCTCATCACTCGAGGGTCCTTTTCCAAGGATCCTCTAAGAAAACACTTGTGCTGCCGCTTTTTCCACCCAAACTCCTGAGGATAAAATACCATATACACTTACAATTCTCAGTCAATATCAGATTCCCTAATCATTTTAATAACACCATTTTAATAAAAATTATCTATGACAAAATTGTCAAATCTAAAGGCTTATTTCAGTGTAAGCTAAAAAAAAGTGAGCCTGTTCTAATTATCAACATTCTCCCACTTGAAATTTTGTTAGTTTTTCAAACTTCATTTTCCTTGTTTAAGTTCCCAGAACATTCCTTCTTAATCTTATAGCATCCTCCTCAGCTTACTTCTCAAATACTACACATTTCTGACTTTGTTAGTGTGCTGTATTTCATTTTCCTTTTTCAAGCTCCCAGAACATTCCTTCTTAATCTCTTTTTTTTTTTTTTTTAAGATTTATTTATTTGTGCATACAGAACTGGGGTACAGGCCAGAGGCTCAGGGGTGGTGAGAGGCTTCACCAGAGACAGAGTGGGGAGCAGAACAGGCAGATCGACGAAGTACACTGCTGAGGGGAGCAGCGGGTGGGTCAGGAGAGGTCTGCCGCACCATGTGGTCACCTCCGGGGCAGGTGGGAATAGAACTCATGCGGAAGTGGCTTTAGCTTCTCAGTGCTGTGCTTTAACCCGCCGCGCCACCAGGGAGGGCCCCTTCTTAATCTCTTATAGCATCCTCCTCAGCTTACTTCTCAAATAGTACACATTTCTGACTTTGTTAGTGTGCTGTATCTACCTTAATTCTGCCAGAGCATTCTTACCAATTAATACTTCCATGGTTTAACTCCACTGACAGTTCTCATGTTTATTCAGACTCAGTTTTTCTCCTGTAGATTTTTTTCTTCCTATAACAGTATCTTGTTTGAAAGTCCTTCTAGCTTAATGTGACTATTCAGTGTAAAACTCAGTTTTGTATTCCCACCGGAATTGACAGTTTCACTCATGCTCTGAAGCAGGCAGCCCAAGATTTTCTTAGAAATCTGCTGCCCTTTCAACCTTCTGAGGACCTGAGCTGCCAAATCCTGACTACTGGTACCGGCCCTTCTACAAGGAAGGCCAGGCTGACCACCCCTTCTCTGGGCTGTTTCAACTCCTCATTGGCCTGTCAGTTACCTGGAGTCCCTGAAGGATCCTCAACACTGATGCCAATGAAAACTTTTCTGTAAAATGATGTCACTTCTTTGCTTAAAAAACATGTGCTAACTTCCCATGATCTGGAAGAATAAAATCAGTTCTTTGTGGTACAAGGTTCTTAACCTGTCTGGCTACAAGTTTCTATTACCTCCTATGTACCCTTTAGGATCCATTTAAATGTCAGACTATGCTATTTATAACACTTTTTCATTCCAGAAATTAAAATACTCACCCACTTGTATTTTTACTTCTATAAATATCTCTCTCAGTACACCATAAACTTCCAGAAAGCAGTTAATTTTTTTTTTTTTTGGAAATTAGTGATATTGGACTCACAGAAAGAATTCAGGATTTGTTTTATTTTTTTTTTTTT